AGAGATTGGGGTTTAGTGTTTTAACAATTCAGAAAAACTGTAATTTAGAAATTACGTAAGGCTTGTGTTAATATCCAGCGCTAGGTGGAGCAGTGAACACTCTATCTATAACTGCCGTTTATCATTAACCGAGAACTATTGTAGATACTAGTTCAGATGAGTTGAGCTGCAGCTCCTGACAGCTGAGAGCTCGATCATGATGGTTTCTCATGGCTTGTATGGGACCCTGTGGATGTTGTCATGTTTTGGTAAGCCTATTTCTATCAATTAAATAATGTTGTGTGTTTTAAATTCCCACACGGAAATATAATATACAGTATGACATATATTGCCCTAAAGAGTGATATTGTCATATATATTGCATATTATATAAGGTGATATATAATATTCACATATGCACGTCACCTTAATTAAAACAACATGTATACAAATGTTTTGTATGTTTATAGGCTTATATTATATTTGTTTCTGTTTTTTTTTTTTTTAAGCGGATGTCTATGTTTTATATTTACTTATATAATATGAACATGTATTGACAGGTTTTAGGATGGATATATTGGCATATGGTTTCATTAATAGTTTGGTATCATTTTCACAAGCAAGTGGTAAATTAGTACAAAACTCTACAACTCTGTTCACACTTGCATCGTAGTTCATTGTTAATTTAAAACTTATTAATAAAACTTTTAATAATAAAAAATTCTGAAACAATGATTAGCCTATGTTAAACACATACATTTACAATTAAAGCATTTTATTATTAACTATTGTGACATATGAGAAAATTGTATTTATACTTTTTTTAAAGTATAATTAATTAATAAATTATTTTTTTTACAATCAGTTTATTCAGTAACAAACAATGCAAGACGCATGATTTAAAACACGCTTATAGGTCCTAAATGATAGATGTGATATGCAATCATCACAGTGAACAACAGGCCTACATTACACAACCAAATTTACAAAATCCATAATATATCAAATGCCTATCCAGTAGGATGCATCAAAAAACCCAAAATTTTGAAAAGTTTTGAAATATGTTTCGGCATCTAATGCATGCCATATCAAGTAATAAACATTATGGCCAAATTTCGTATTTTAAATTGTATACTGGGTCAACCACACCCGAGAAATTAAAATACAATTATGCAGCTTAGTATTTGCAATTCAATATTTCAGCCATTTTTGCTGCGGCATCCTGGGAGCAATTGGGGGGTTCGGTGCCCCGCTAATTTTTTATTACATTTTTTTACTTTTCTTTACTTATTTACCCACTATCACTGCCATTTTGTTGTGAATGTCTGTGCAGAGTGTGGCATCAAGCTGAATGTGTGGGTATTGAGGGTGGAAAAGGGTATTGAGTTGAGGCTATTGAGTGTGGAAGAGTGCGCTGTTCATTCTCTCCTCTCACCTATATTTCCTGCCGATACTGAGATTGATCCCACAACCTTCAGATTATAAGTCCAACATTCTAACCATTAGGTCACAATTGTCATGTGCCCTAATGTACATGAATCAAGTGCTCTTGTTTGCAACATTCTTCTTCCTTAGGTTATGCCTCAGCTTCCGGTCTGCCTCAACCACCTAGAGAGTGTTCTGATAATGCTGCTTTAAACTGGCTGCATCAAATCAGCTCTCAGCTTGACACCACGCTCTGCACAGTCATTCATGACAAAATGGCGGAGGGTAGTTGTGGCTCGCAGGTTCACTTCTCAGTACCGGCAGGGATTGTAGGTGGGAGGAGTGAATGAACAGTGCTCTCTTCCACTCTCAATACCCATGACTGAGCTGCCCTTGAGCAATGCAACCCCCATTTGATCCCAGGCGCTGCAGCAAAAATGGCTGCCCACTGCTCCGTGTCTGTTCACTCACTGCTGTGTGTGTGCACTTGGATGGATTAAATGCAGAGGACAAATTCCAAGTATGGGTTACCATACTTGGCCTACATGTCACTTTGTAAAATAGCAAAGTAAAGAAAATAAATAAATAAAAAATTATTGAACAGTGCCAGAATCTGGTTATTATTATTTTTGTTCTGTTAAAACTTATATGCTTATTTGCTACCCTGTAATATTTTGCATCACATGTGGACCCGGTAGACATTATTCATTTTTTTGAATATTTTGTACATTTGCTGTCCGACTTGTAAGTCTGCCTTTTAGCAATTTATTATTATTATTATTATTATTGTTGTTTTGAATAGGTCTGTTTCTAAGTGAAGACCTGCAGTTTTCTCTCTTCCACTCTCAATACCCATGACTGAGCTGCCCTTGAGCAATGCAACCCCCATTTGATCCCAGGCGCTGCAGCAAAAATGGCTGCCCACTGCTCCGTGTCTGTTCACTCACTGCTGTGTGTGTGCACTTGGATGGATTAAATGCAGAGGACAAATTCCAAGTATGGGTTACCATACTTGGCCTACATGTCACTTTGTAAAATAGCAAAGTAAAGAAAATAAATAAATAAAAAATTATTGAACAGTGCCAGAATCTGGTTATTATTATTTTTGTTCTGTTAAAACTTATATGCTTATTTGCTACCCTGTAATATTTTGCATCACATGTGGACCCGGTAGACATTATTCATTTTTTTGAATATTTTGTACATTTGCTGTCCGACTTGTAAGTCTGCCTTTTAGCAATTTATTATTATTATTATTATTATTGTTGTTTTGAATAGGTCTGTTTCTAAGTGAAGACCTGCAGTTTTCTGGTCCGGCTAATGGAGCAGTAGGAGGAAGTGTGGTGTTCGCTCCTAATAACCCGCCCTCCACATCAGTTAATGAAACTCAGTGGTATTTTGGAACAACTCTTATATTGATAGCACAGTCTGATTCAACTGTAATAGCCTCAGAATACAGAGGCAGAGTCAGTTTTGACAGAAACACTCTCGCTCTGGAGCTTTGGAACCAGAGACTGGATGATTCTGGAATATACAGACTGACTGTAGAAACTATTACTGGAGACAAACTTACAGGAGAAACTTCACTACAAGTGTTCGGTGAGTGTGTTGCTTAAACTTGGTTTAGTGTTTGAAACTATATTTTGTAAGATTAATAGATGACAAATGGGTATTTAATAAATATGTGAAAGATTATTTAAAAAGTAACATTGAACAAGAATCGTAAATATGTGAAAATGGTATTATAATAGTTGCATGATGAGAATACTGACGAGAATATAAGGATATAATAATAATAATAATAATTATTATTATTATTATCATTTATGTATGGACATGCCTGATGTTATTTTGTTGTTATGAACTGAGCAGTTGATTTCCAGGTTATTGGAAAATTTAAGAAAAAAATTGAAGAACACTGAACATTTCTGTTATTTGAATTCTGAATTCTGTTATAAGCTGTTATTCTCCTAAAACAAGTAAAAACATTTCTGAGAAATTAAACACACTACACTCCTCACAATCCAACCAACCAGACTGTGCCAAATAATTGAGGAGTAAGTGAGGTTTCTTTTGCCATTGATCATGTAATTTTCTAAAAACAATTCAAGCTTCGATACGTTGGACTTCATTGGATAAACTTTTTTAAAAACATTTTTTATGTACTTTTTGAGTAATTTCAAAATTTTCACCCATTAAGTCTCATCCCTATTATGTCCCATGCAAAACATGCGGGGAACTACAGTTTCAGTAATTCATTTTCAAGTGCTGTTCAAACAAACTTGATTGGTTCACATTTGCATATTTTAAAGAATTACATTAATAGAAAGCAAAGAAATCAAATTTAGAATAGCCAATCAGACTATGTTGTCCTTTTTTTTTTTAGGGCAGATTAAACTTTTAACTTGTTTATTTATTTATTCATTATTATTATTATTATTATTTTCATTTTTGTTATATTAAGATTACTATGAGGTTAAAAAGGTGTTTATGGCCTGAAGAAGACCCTATTACATATATGCTTTAGGACAGTGGTTCCCAACCACGTTCCTGGAGCCCCCAACACTGCACATTTTGTCTCCTTTGTCTGACACACCCATTTCAGGTCTTGGAGTCTAATAAGCTGATGAGTTGAATCCTGTTTGTTTGATTAAGGAGACATGCAAAATGTGTTGGGGGCTCCAGGAACGTGGTTAGGAACCACTGCATTATGACACACATATTAATACATACATACATACATAAAATCATTGATGGACCATGTGGTAGTCAGTGGAACGTTGGGACCTTGAACTGTAAACTGTAATAGTAATTTCACAAGATTTTACATGCAGGTATGTTAGTGTATTAAATGGAAAGGACACATTATAGCTCTCTGTTATGTATAATACTTGTAGGAACCAATAATCTATGACATGATTAGCACTATGTAAAAGCACAAGCATGAATTGGATCCTACCTAAATTTCATTTGCTTTTACAAACAGAATTACATTCAGTGCTCACTAAATATGAAAGACTTTAGAAACTTTAGATTCAGTGTTTTCTGATTCTGATTCTGATTTGTTCTTTTTCTCTCTTTCACACAGAAATAATTACTAATGTCAGGTTTATTGGTCCAGAAGAACCATTAATAGAGGGAGAATCATCTGCTAACATCAGCTCTAAGTAAGTATTCTATGCTGTACATGATGTCAGTCTGTTGTTTCCTGTGCCTTTGTCATAGTAGGAGGAAGAGGAGGAGGAGGGCTGTCATCAGGGGCGATAGCTGGGATTGTCATTGGGGTTTTAGTGGCAGTTGCAGGCATTTGTGGTCTGATTTTCTATTTAACAAAAACTAAGAAAATGTGAGTAAAAATTGAGTTTCTGAATTATGTACAGTGACTTTCTCTGAAAATATGTCAGTATTTATGTGATAACAAAAAGATTTCAGTAAAACAATTGTCATAAGCTGTCTTTTTATGAGACAAAAATGTGGTAAAGATAAAGTTGTAACAAAATGTCTTTGTCTTTACACTACAGCTCAAAAATAAACCTTCGACAAAATGGACCGGCAAGAGGAGGTATGTTTGTTATTTATTCATAATGCCAGCATTAGTATGTGATTGAAACAACCCAACTTACTGCACAAGACTGACCATGATAATGAACATGCCATAATAGATTGCAGATGAACTATTCATATTACAGATGATTCAGTACATATTTCTCTCAGTATTAAACTCATTGAGTGTTACTTTCTTTAAACAGCAGCACAAAGCAGACAGGAGCCTGTGAGTGACTTTCATTTCTTGTTTTCTCATCACAGCCTTACTTTTTATTAAATGGATACTTGATTTAAAACTGTAAATCTGATGTCAAATGACATTACAAACTACTTACTGGAAAGGTGCGATAGTTATTCAGCCTCAGAGGTAATTAAAGAGTTTATTGCATTAGGGATGAGTATATTTTTACAGTCAGCTTAAATGGACTTTAATCTTTCACATACTACCGCACAAAGACTTGCTATGAGGATGAGCTATGAATATTGACATTAAATCATTATGATTTATTAAACATTTTAATAGTGGGATTTCATTTTTTTATTTTATTTACAGTGCTGTGAAAAAGTGTTTGACCCCATTCTGATTTCTTCTGTTTTTACATATGTCTCATAATAAATTGTTTAAAAAATGAAAACAAAGTATTACATAAAACAAAGGCAACCTTGATAACAACAAAATACAGTTTTTAAATAGTTTAAAATAGTTTTTTTATGCTAATTTTATTTATTGACGCAAAAACGTTATCTAATACCAACTGGGCTTGTGTGAAAATGTATTTGCCCCTGTTGTTTCTAATTACCAAATTTATGAAACTGCATTCATAATTTGGTTCTAGATGCAACCGGGCCTGATTACTGCCAGTCCTGTTCAAGTAAATCAACACTTAAATACAACTTTTTCAGCTGTATGAAGTTGGTTAAAAGGTCTTACCCAGTAACACACTATGCCAAAGGTGAAAGAATTTCCAGAAATTATGAGGAAGAAGGTAATTGAAATACATCAGTCTGGGAAGGGTTGCAAAGCTATTTTAAAGGCTCATGGATTCCAAGGAGCCACAGTGTGAGCCATTATCTCCAAATGGAAAAAACTTGGCACAGTAGCGAACGTTCCTAGAAGTGGCCAACCTAAAGCCCAGAGGACAACATCGAAGAAACTGCAGGCCTCTCTTGCATCAATAAAGGTAGCTGTTCATGAATCCACTATCTGAAAGACACTGGCCAAAAATGGCATCCATGGAGGAGTGATGAGACAAAAACCAACTGCTAACCCAGAAGAACTTTAAGGCTTACTGAAACACACCTTGATGATCCTCAAACCATTTGAGAGAATGTTTTGTTGAGTGATGGGTCAAAAGTGGAACTGTTTGGAAGACAAGGGTCCTGTTACATCTGGTGTAACCCAAACACTGAATTACACAAAAAGAACATCGCCCCTATGGTCAAGCGTTGTGGTGGCAGTGTGTTGGTGTGGAGAACATGAGGGAAACACGAATTCTGCTCTCTACCAGAAAATCCTAAAGGAGTCTTCAGTCTGAAAGTTGAAGCTCAAGTGCAGCTGGATTAAACAGCAAGACAATGATCCAAAGCATAGGCGAAAGTCCACCTCTGAATGGCTAAAAAAAAGAAAGTTTTGGAGTGGTCTAGTCCTGACTTGAACCCAGATGCCTTAAACAGACAGTTCATACTCGAAAACCCTCCAATGTGGCTGAACTAAAGCAGTTCTGCAAAGAAGAGTGGACCCAAATTCCACCACAGTGCTGTGAAAGATTGGTAGCATTTGGTTGCAGTTGTTAAAGAGGTCATATGATGCTGCTAAAAAGAACATTATTTTGTGTATTTGGTGTAATGAAATGTGTTTATGCGGTTTAAGGTTAAAAAAACACATTATTTTCCACATAACTTTTATAAAGAATATCTCTTTGGATTTGAGACTTTAGTCTTTGCAACTTTACAGATCTTCTTTATGCACCAAGAGCTTGTAACACTGCAAAGAGAAAGAACAAATTGAAATCGCATCATATGACCCCTTTAAAAAATAAATAATGAATGTGTTTACGTATGTTTCCTTTGTTTTATTTTATTGAAGATCTAAAACTATTTAGCATGAAATATACACAAAAACAGAAGAAATCAGGGTGGGGGCAAATGCATTTTCACAGCATTGTAAATACATTGTGACATTGAGATTTTAATTTAACAAAAACAAATGACTGTTTGTAGGACTTGAACTATGCAGACATTAGCCATTTCCAGAAGGCTAGTGGAGAGAGAGTGAATCTGGGGAATAAGAGTGAATTTAGTACAGAGTATGCAGAAGTAAAACATGGAGGGAAGTCAAGGGCTCCTCCGCCTCCCTATGGAAGTCAGGTAAGCTGTTGTATACATTAAAAGTAGCCCATCCCATTGTAGAACACCATATGTGTACTTTAGCTGCAATAAAACTTTACTGCATCACAAAATAAGTGCTATTTATACTGTGCTGTAGCTCTGCAGTAAAACAATAAGGAAGTCATTTGGTTGGTTTCATTTATTACATGCTTCTGTAACTTCTCCAGTCACGTATCAAACCCTCCTCCTGTGCGCAGGTGCGGAAGTGAAGACACTGAAACACTGAAACCTACTGCACTGAATCTTCCTGCATATTGCACATTTTACATGTGTTGTGTTATTTCTTTAATTTAGTTTGATTTCACTGGATGTTGTTGTGTAAGTGAAATGAACTTTTATTATGGTTTTGAATTCAAGATGGCTTGATAGGCTGTGCAATTTTTCTGTTTTCACGATTAAGATGGAGAGACAGGGGAGGGTTGTAACACTGCTCAGTTTATTTTGAATTTGTATACAATTTTTCAACATTTATCTGATACAAATCGATGTTGTTTCGAAATCTACAACTTCTCTTGAAATCTCTCTATTGTGTAAAATAATGTCAAGTACAAAAAGCCCTGTTATTACAACATAATCACCTACCGGTGTGTGTTTTAAAAGTAGATTAACAGTAGAAAACATTGATGTTTTACATTTTGTATATGCATTTGTTTGATATTACAATGAAGTGAAAAATTTTTTTTGCAACCCTCCCTAACTCAGAAATGACACTTTGAGTTTTTGTTTTAATATTCAGGTGAAAAATTGGAGTAAATATTATATTAAAAAAGAATCTGCTGATTCAGAATAAACCAATTTCTGTCAATTAACATACATAAACCTTATTGTAAACTGAATTATATCCCCAAAGTAAAATGTTGATTTTTCTATCTCAAATGTGTTTTTTTTTGTCCTATAAATCCTTTATATTTTTAAACAGAGACTTACAACTTCTTCTGTCACCTCAAGAGGGTGGTGGTCATGTACAACCCCAATTCCAAAAAAGTTGGAACGTTTTTTAAAATGCAGTAAAATCAAGAATCTATGGTTTGTAAACTGTCTTTAACCTTCATTAAATTGACAAAGGTACAATTAAAAGATTTCCAATGATTTTTTGATGGCTGCAACATACTCCACAAAAGTTGGGACAGAGGCATGATAAAATTGAAAAGGTTATAGAATATCTGAGTTAAACTGTTTTAAAAGCAGGTGAATTGGTAATAATACGTCAGGGTATCATGATTGGGTTTATACAGAGCATCCTGTCTTTGCCAGCAAAGCTTGATCGTGGCTCACCACTTGGTGCCAAATTTCATGAGAGAATTGTCAGACAAATCAAAAATCACATCTCTCAATGCAAATTTGCAAAGAAGTTAGGTCTTTCACCAATTACCATAGATAATTTTGTGAAAAGATTCAGGGAATCCAGAGAAATCTCAGTACATGTAGGGCAAGGCAGGACACCTCAGTTGAATGTGTGTGATCTTTAAGCCCTCAGATGGCATTGCCTGAGAAACCTTCATGTTGCTGTGTGAAATATAGCTACATGGGCTGAGGAGTACTATGGATAACTGTTGTCATTTAACACAGTCTGCATCTGCAACAAGAAATGCAACTTGAATCTCTGTTACACAAGGAGTAATCTATACATCAATTCTAGACAGAGACGCCAGCGAGTTCTTTGGGTCCGAGCTCATCTTAGATTGTCCAAAAGACAATGGAAATGTGTGCTGTGGTCAGATGAGTCCACATTTCAGCTTGTTTTGGGGGAAAACGGACATCAAATTGTTAGTCTCAAAGACAAAAGGGACCGTCCAGACTTAAATCAGTGACAGGTGCAAAAGCAAACGTCTGTCATGGTATGGGGGTGCATCAGTGCAAACAGCATGGGTGACTTGTATATGTGTGAAGGTACCATTGACGTGGAGGCATATATTGGGATTGTACAGAGACATATGGGTGATTCTATAATTGGAGATACATTTGGCATTACAGAAAGTTAAGAAAAAAAACTTTTCACTAACATATTTTTTTTAGATTTTCTTATTGAAAACTTATTGATATTTAATTTTAATAATTCAGTGCTTGCCAAACACAAGTTACTTCCTTTTTTTACTTTTAATGAAAAAACAGATGTCTTTATGGTATTGTTTGTCAACTCTGTTACGGACAAATTAGCCAATGTGTAGAAATAACAATAAATCATAACAGGAAAAATCCTTCTTGTTTCATTAGACAAACAGTCCTTACATTCCATCACTTGAAACTGAGATAATATTTCACTATGCATACCTTAAAAATAAAAATGATTTTCAGCTATTTAAGACACTTTTTGCAAAAAATATTATATTGTTATGGACTGTAACATCTTGTAATTCATAACAATGAGTAACACAGTATTAAAATAATAAAAAAAATAACAATTTGAAAAAAGCAGAAAAAAAGAATGACTTTGGACACCAAATGTACCTGCAATTATAGAATCACTCATATACTGCCATCAAGATGACATCTTTCATGGGAAGTCCATGGTTATTAGATCAAGACAATGCCAGCTCTCATTGTGCATGTGCTACAGCAGCGTGGTTTCGTAGACAAATGTGGATGTGGCTGACTGGCCAGCAGATCTGTCTCCTATTGAAAATGTATGGCCCATCATGAAAAGGAGAATCAGACAACAATGACTATGAACTGATGAGCAGGTGAAGTCTTGTATCAAGCGAGACTGGGCAAAAATTTTGCTTGCAAAATTAAAAAAAATAGCATCCTAAATTCCCAGATGATTAAAATGTGTAATTAAAAGGAAAGGTGATTTGACACAGTGGTAAACATGCCTCTGTCCCAACTTTTTTAGAGTGTTTTGTAGCCATCAAAATCAAAATTTGTTTATATCTACAATATAATAAGTTGGCCAGTGAAAACACTGGAAATTGTTCTTTGTACTTTAGTCAGTTAAATAAAGGTTAAAGAGAATTAACAAATAATATATTCTTGATTTTATGGCATTTCACAAAATGTCCTAACTTTTCTAGAATTGGGGTTGTATGATTTCATCCATGTACGTAATTTCTAGATGGTTAAAGTGACTGTATTACAACTCAGCACTTGATAGAAACATTCCTTTACTTCCACAGCATGTCTTATTGCATATTGCTGAAATATTTTATCATAAAATAAATCCACTGTCTGCGCCATATGCCCCACCAGAACCTTTTCATTATAACTTGTGCTTCACACTGGATAATGTACCAGAAACTGTCACAAATGTTCACTGGGCCTGTGGTCTGCTAATGTGTAGAAAATGATGCCATCTGAGCAGTCCATACACTCTTCCTTTAAATGTTTTTTTTTTTTTTCACTATAATGGTTCATCCTGATCTCATTTGTAAATGAGTTTTCCAAATAACATTTTTTATTTAAAGGCTAATATTTACTACTATTGATCACATGCATCAAACAGTTTCTCAGAAATCATCAGACACATCCTCATTCCTTCTTTCCTGTAAAGAAGCCTGGGCAAATAAAACAAGACAAAACTGTGATAGTGGGTAATAAAATCAAAGGCCACATTCATGACTGAATTCACCTTTAGACACTCAGGGACAAGACATAATGAAGCAGCATTTTGTTCTGGCCATAAACATCTAGTTTTGGTAGACATATAGCTGTTATCGCTTATATTGTTCATTATATTTTCCAAAGAATGTGATGTAACAGTACTGTTCTGTTATTTATAATTTATGTAAACTTCAATGACATTTGACAGAGGAATTTCATTTGCTCAAAATAAGGAGTTATTTCTTTCTCATTCTACCTTCTGGTTCTGTTTTTCAGCTCTGTTGTATCTATAAGGTCACATACTGTATTTTCTTATTTTCTTCCTCATGGTGTGATAACACTGAACCACAACTGATAAGGATTTATCAAAGCAGATGTAGTGAGTTAAACTTTAACTTTGATTGTGTGTTTTATGAATATGAGCAACCTAAAAAGTACAGGGTACAGGTACATGTAATTATGCATAATTATTTATTATAATAGTAAGTACATGTAACGTGTAACAAGGACTCCTTAAAATAAAGTGTTACCCATATTTCTCATATATTTTCCTTCCTCCCTACAACACTGATAACTTGTCAAATTGTATGACAGCGTTCTTCAGCATTAGTTCATTGCTACCTTTTACAGAACTTAAATGCCCTGTGTTAATGTTCTTTATATGAAACATGCAGTAAACATAGAAGAACAACTTTGATATGGGGGTTATTAATTACTGTAAAACAAACTGCCTTTGAGGGTATTGTTTTACAGCCTGTTTGATAATTGTTTTGAATCATGTGGACATGTTTTGTAGCCACTAAATAAATAAATACATAAACTGTTGTGTCACGACTTACTTTCAGAGATGAAATTGGGGCCACAAGAAAAACATTATTTAGTTGTTTAATACCTAGACCAGGTCTCCAGACTGTGATAAGTGAGAGCTGCAGGACTGATTGTCTGCTGCTGCCACCTGTTGTTTATAAAGTGAGAAATAGGCTACCATTTCATTTGTAAATAGTTTCCACTAGCTGTATATTTACTGTATATAATTGTATACTGTATTGTGTGTTAAAATGTACTTAATGTTACCCTATTGGACATAGTGCCAAATTACAGACAGATTTAATGTACATATAGTTGCATAATGACTTTAGGCTTTATAGAGAGCACTGTTGAATAATGACATTTCTGGAGGACTCCTTAGACAAGTGTTTACTTCACTGGATCCAATGAATTGAATAAGCAGCTTTCATAACTGACTATAATCAGAGATTTTATTAAACTTAATAAAGTAAGGAATTCCTTTAATCGTAAGTAAAGAATAGCACCCTAAAAAGGGACTATTTTGCTATAATGACTGACTGCACATTATCTCAGTTAACAAGGAACGTTCTCAGAACGTTGGTTAACTTTCTGGAAGATTCTCGTTATGAACAAACGATCTTCTAGTAATGTAAATGTTTGTTCAGAGTTATTTGGTCTTTAATAATGTTCTCAAAATGTTAGCACAAAAACATTATTTAGCCTACAAGGTACATCGTTCATAGAACGTTTTGTTTCTCAAACATTTTAATTGGACGCTAAAATCTCACTTTTTTTTTTTTTTTAAATGTTAGGCCTACTGAATTGTTTCAGAACATTCAGAGAACATTCAAAAGTGTACCCATAATGTTTGGAAAATTATATGAAAAAAAAAATGTTCTAACATTCGCATAAAAAAAATAATAGAAAATATTTTTCTTAGCTGGGATAACGCTTTTATACTCACCAAATAATATAATACGTGGACATGAAAAACTAATTTGATATTTTTCCCCTGTAGGCCTAGGCTATATCTTAAAGCTTCCGCTAAGAAAAATATTCTATTGCGAAAATTTGTAGGAAAATCGGCATAACCACTAGAGGAACACTGCAACAACAATTACATATCTACTCAATAAAATAATTAAAGTCCCCCTGTAGTGAAAATCAAGTTTTTTATGTTGTTTATTTGTCTATGTGGTGTTTTTAATATGCTTTTAGACAAACCATGTGCCAATCTATTAATCAACACCATTGCTGTGTATTTTCTCCTTAAAACTGTAGTTTCCCAAAGGCTGGCCCAGAAATATGGCTTGAAACAGCCCTCGGTTTGCTACGTCACAATCCAATAACCAATCACGTCAAGGGATAGATTCCTATCA